GTTTTGGGGTTTTGTGATGTGGGCTAATCTTGCTGGGGTTAGATAATATCTTAAAGTAGTTTTGATTTGCATTTCTCTGATGATTAAGGATGATGAGCATTTTTTCATGTGTTTGTAGGCCATGCGCCTGTCTTCATCAGAGAAGTTTCTGTTCAAGTCTCTTGCCCACATACAAATGGTGTTATTTGTTCTTTTCTTATTGATTAGTTTGAGTTCTCTGTAGATTCTAGTTATCAGACTTTTGTCAGAAACATAACCTGCAAAAATGTTCTCCCTTTCTGAAAGTTGTCTGTTTGCTTTACTTACTGTGCTCTTGGCTGTGCAAAAGCCTTTTAGTTTGATCAGATCCCAGTAATGTATTTTTGGTATTGCTTCAATTGCCCCCAGGGGTCCTCCCTATAAAATCTTCTCCCAGGCCAATTTCTTCAAGTGTTTTCCCTGTACTCTCTTCAAGTATTTTTATAGTTTCATGTCTTAAGTTTGTTTTTTATTTTATTTTTTATTTTTTTGAGACAGAGCCTCAAGCTGTCACCCTGGGTGACATGCCGTGGCATCATAGCTCACAGCAACCTCCAAATCCTGGGCTCAAGCGAGTCTCCTGCCTCCGCCTCCCAAGTAGCTGGGACTACAGGCACCCGCCACAGCGCCTGGCTATCTTTTGGTTGCAGCCGTCATTGTTGTTTGGTGGGCCTGGGCTGGATTCCAACCCACCAGCTCAGGTTTATATGGCTGGTGCCTTAGCCATTTGAGCCACAGGTGCCGAGCCAATGTCTTAAGTTTAAATCTTTTATCCAGTGAGAATCAATTTTTGTTAATGGTGAAAGGTGGGGGTTCAGTTGTTTCAGTCTTCTACAGGTCGCCAGCCAGTTCACCCAGCACCATTTGTTAAATAGGGAGTCTTTGCCCCACTGAATATATTTGATAGGCTTGTGGAAGATCAAATGATGATAAGTAGCTGGGTCATCTCTTGGTTCTTTATTCTGTTCCATAAATCTACTGTTCTGTTTTTGTGCCAGTACCATGCTGTTTTGAACACCATAGGTTTATAAGCCTGAAGTCTGGTAACGTGATACCTCCTGATTTCTTCTTATTTGCTATTTGAGGATTTTTTCTGATTCCATATAAAATGAAGTACTATTTTTTCAATTTCTTTAAAATATGATAATGGTGCTTTAATAGGGATTATATCAAATCCATAGATTGCTTTGGGTAGTATGGACATTTTAACAATGTTGATTCTTCCCAGCCATGAGCATGGTATGTTTTTCCATTTGTTAACATTTCAGCTATTTCTTTTCTCAGAGTTTCATGGTTCTCCTTATAGAGATCTTTCACATCCTTTGTTGGGTAAATTCTCAGATAGTTCATCTTCTTAGGCACTATTGTAAAAGGAATAGAGTCCTTGATTGTTTTTTCAGCTTGACTATTGTTGGCATATATAAAAGCTACTGACTTGTAAGTATTGATTTTGTATCCTGAGATGCTGCTGTATTCCTTGATCACTTCTGAGAGTTTTGAAGTTGAGTCCCTGGGATTTTCCAGGTCTAGGATCATATCATCAGTGAAGAGTGAAAGTTTGATCTCCTCTGACCCTAATTGGATACCGTTGATCACCTTCTCTTGCCTGATTGCGATAGCTAAGACTTCCATTACTCTGCTGAATAGCAGTGGAGACAGTGGGTATCCTTGACTAGTTCCTGATCTGAGTGGAAATGTTTTTCATTTTACTCCATTCAATATGATATTGGCTGTGGGTTTGTTGTAGATAGCTTCTATCAGTTTAAGAAATGTCCCTTTTGGCTCGGCACCTGTGGCTCAAGCAGCTAAGG